TTTTAATCTCTGGGGAAAACTTTGGAAGAGAGATCTGAAGTTTACAGCATGTTATTCCTTGAAGGAGAACTACCTGAAAATGATTTATAGGTGGTATTTAAGCTGAGTAGACTTCCTAAGATGTATAAGACTGAATCAGATAAGCACTGGAGATGCATTGAGGCTGAGGGTATGTTCTGTCATATGTGGTGGACCTGTAAAAAGGTAAAAGAGTATTGGGAAATAATTTGCAATGAATTGAAAAAAATGTTTAAAAGTACTTTTCAAAAAAAACCCCCAAATGGAGTCCTTTTTGTTGGGGATAATTCAGATGAAAATTCCCAGGGGTCAAAAAAGGTTATTTATGTGTGCCACTACTGCGGCCCATGTTTTGTTAGCCCCCAAATGAAAAATTAGTGAGGTTCCAACTAAAGAAGAGTGGCAGCTTAAGCTGATGGAATATGTGCAGCTTGCGGATCTAACACATAGAATGAGAGAACAAGAAGAACATATGTTTAAAGAAGATTGGAAAATGTTTATTGAATATATGGGAGGGGACTGTGTACACTTGAAAACGTGGGCAGCATTAAGAGAAATTCAACAGTGTAAATAAGTTTTGACGGATGTAATGAATGGTTTAGTGTTTGTAAAATATGCAGTGATTTAAGCTGTGCAAAATGAACCATGGAAAGAGAAGAAAGAAAGTCTTTGATATTTTAAGGCTGTTTAAATGTATATTCTAAAATGTAAAATGGAAAATTTAATAAAAAATATAGCAAAAAGAGAAAAAAGGAGTGGGAAACAAGAGGTGGGGAGATCCAGGATTTTGGATGAAGGTGAATTCAGCAAGCAGGCAGGCAGGCAGGCAAGAACGACAAACTCTTGCCAAGAAAACAGTTCTTGCAACTTCCTCAAGGGTGCTTCCAGAGTGCCACTGCTTTAGGGTGGGATTAAGGTTCTACAATTATAATTGATTGGGAGTTCTTGGGCAACAAACCAGTCCCCCCCCCCAAAGATCAGACTTTTTGTGATAGGCAGAATGGTGGGGGAACTGCACTGAAAGGTGTGAGACAACACTTGCCTTGATGCAACACTTGCCTTGATGCAAGATGGATTGTCTAACCTCCCAGCAAGCAAAGCAGAATGATTGCTCATTAAATAGCCATCCTTTGTCTAATCTCCCTGAAAACAAATCAGGAAGAATTCTCCGTCATCAGGCCATCTGAAAACAGGTTCACTGTGGAACCTGGGAGGAAATAATACTAGAGATGGATGGGTTAGTCTTTCCGGCCTATGCCAGTTTTGCGCGAGTTCATTCATAAATCCATTCTGCTCTGCTTCAACACCATTCAACAATATCTTTATTTCAGCCCTAAAATACATGTTCTTGTAAGCATTTTGGAAGGGTTGCCATATGTCCAGAAATTATCGGGATTTCAAAGGCAGAACTTCCGAAATGTGGCGCTTGGTCCTGGATCTTAGGCAAATCAAAAAATCAAGTGTTTTTGGCATAAACAAAGCTCAACAACTTTGGGGTTTGTCTGAGAAAAAGCTCGGAAATTTTTGGGGTGTCCTGCTTTTTACTTTTTGAAATATGATATACCAATAATTTTGGTACTTCTTTGTGATGAGACCCGTATTTAAAGTTTGGAGAAGTGTGAAAACTGAGGCATAAGGTTTGTAATAGCCTGGGAAATATGGTAAGGATGGTTGGCTTAAATAAAAATGCTAACCATGATATACAGAGTGAGGGATTTGGGGCATAACATCCAACTTTCTGCTTGGGAAATGTTATGGAAAACTGATTTGAAATTCTCGGTGGGCTGTACATTGAAAGAAAATTATATGAAAATGATGTACTGATGGTATATGACTCCCAGTAAGTTAGCAAAAATATGTAAGACAGGTGCAAATATCTGCTGGAAATGTAAATAAAAAGAAGACACCTTTTATCATATATGGTGGTCTTGCAAGGTAATAAAAGCATTCCGGGAAATGATATACAATGAATTGAAAAAAATGTTTAAATTAACTTATATTTAAAAAACCCAGAGGTTTTCTGTTAGGAATTGCAGGTGCCGATATTCCAAGAGAGCAGAAAAGACTTTTTATGTATGCGACGACAGCAGCACAGATGCTATTAGCCCAGAGATGGAAAGACAAAAGAAGAAGTCCCTACCAGAGAAGAATAGCAAATTAAACTGTTGGACTGTGCGGAAATGGCAAAATTGACTGGAAAGCTCAGGAACCAAAACTTCAATAAAGAATGGAAAAAAATTATAAGTTATCTTGGAGACCACTGTAAGCAGATGAAAACACTAGCAGGATTGCAATAACACTTGCAATGTAGCAAGCACTAGGGAGATACTGGAGTTATATAAAATGTGGATTATTGTAAAATATGCAGTAGAAAAGGCTCAACACAAGGATCCATGGAGGGGAAGGTGGGAAGTCCAGAGATTTGAGGGAATCTTTTAACTGTTGGTGTGTGTCATTGTATTGTTTTAACTTTATATTTGTAAAACAAACAAACAAAAAAATTTCCAGAAAAAATATGCAGACCAAACAAAATCCTCAGATGTCCTGACTTCACGCTCAAACTGCACCGTAAGAGCAGAAGAGAAAAGACCCTGCAGGTTCCTTGGAGGCTTGACCTCCAAGCGACTTACAAAAGATCCCAAATGACATTCGTATTTATGCTATTGATAAGGACTGACAGAACTATTGAAACTTTGCGTTTACAAGTCTCATTAGTTGCCTCCGTGCTTTTATTCGGATCTGCTCGCTGCCATTCTCATATCGATACCTCCGTTAATCCTGTGTGCATAAAGAAATGCGTCTGTGCAGACTTGTTTCTGGTTGCGTGTCTGTCTTCTAAATCACTGTCAAATTTGACGTCCAGCGGAAAACGGGCACTTTACATAAGATATGAGCAATGTTCAGTGGAGTTTAGGAGTCTTTCCGTGATGATAAAAGCTTACTCATTTGTTCAGGTCTCCTGCTGCTGATCTGAATAATTTACAAGAAATAATTTAGATGTGTTATTTTAAAGAAGCTAAATTAACCACAAAAGACTTCATTAAATCCAAACGTTATTGGGAGTGGGGGTGGGGACTGTGGCTAGATGTGGCAGGCCGTGTGGCAGGCAAAATGTTAAGAAGAGACATGGTCTCCCCTTCACTTTTGTGTCTCCTGGCATAGCGATGCTCACCACAAAGCGAGGACATAAGCTCCCCAACCTATGCAAAGCTGCCAATAATCACTATCCTAATTAAATTATACATGTGCATCATGAACAGCTCCTGAGAGGAAAATTACTTCTGATCCATTCACTGGGACTACAGCTGGCTCTTTCTGTATAGGAACCAGGAAGCTATTTCTGTTTTAGGAATGGACATGAATTGTGTCGAATATTTAATCTCCAGTTCCCTTGCAGCTGAATAGTCTAGAAAAAGGGAAGCCGTTACGGCCATTCCCATTGTCCAGACCCATAGAAATATTACAGTGGAACCTCTACCTGCGACCATAATCCATTCTGGAAGTCTGTCCGGAGGTCGAAACGGGTCGCTGGGAGAGGCGCCGATTGCCCGCTTCTGCACATGCACGAATGGCGGCAAATCTGCTGGTTACTTCCAGATTTGCCATGGACATTGGGTGAAATGGACGCAAGCGGAGGTGGACGTAAGAAGAGGTTTGACTGTATTCAAATTTTACCACTAATTTCTCTTCACTGGTGAGAGCCAGTGTGGTGTAGTGGTTAAGAGCGGTAGACTCGTAATCTGGGGAACCGGGTTCGCGTCTCCACTCCTCCACATGCAGCTGCTGGGTGACCTTGGAGCCAGTCACACTTCTTTGAAGTCTCTCAGCCCCACTCACCTCACAGAGTGTTTGTTGTGGGGGAAGAAGGGAAAGGAGATTGAGAGCCGCTTTGGGACTCCTTCGGGTAGTGATAAAGTGGGATATCAAATCCAAACTCTTCTTCTTCTTCTTCTTCTTCTTCTTCTTCTTCTTCTTCTTCTTTAAAAACGGAACAAAAGCATCAAAGATACATCAAAAATATCCATACAATGTATTGTGTTGTCCAGCACAGGCTCAGCATCTTAGACATAAAAGATAATTCCCAAAATCCAAAGGGTGTTCAGAGAGACTAAAACAGGCAACTCCAATCAAAATGGAGAATTTGCAACTCAAGACCTTTGTTCACTCTCAGCACAGAGCAGAAAAACAACTTTGCTTAAAAAAGAAGCTCTCAATGACTTTTGTGTCAGGATTTTCACTTTTTTGAAATATGGCAACCCTTGGTAACTGTTGACTAGCTACAGCTCAGAGAAGAGCTCTTCTTGCTTTCAATATATGGAAAGTCACCGGGTTAAACCTTTACACCAATGCACATTTAGACATTCTCATTTCAACACCTTCTGCATGCAAGGCGGATGCTTGTATTATGGAGATATAGCCCTTCATAAAAGGGTAAAACAGAGCAGGGTGGGATGAGTGCTGCCCTGAACACCATGGAGAAAATGTGGGCAATTAATATGCATGTTGGAGCCAACAGAACAGTGGAACCGAGATGAGATCGTAGGGAGGTCCTATGAACAGCATGGTAGGACAGACCTGCTGCCTGCTTTCTTCAACATCCCAGGTGTCATTCAAGAAGTCAGCTTCTTAGTTGTTAGTGGGTACTGGGCACTAGGGTTGTGTCTCCCACTTTCTCCGAGCACAATTCAAAGTGTTGGTGGTGAACTGTAAAGCCCTAAACAGCCTTGGTCCAGTATATCTGAAGGAGCATCTCCACCCCCATCGTTCTGCCCGGACACTGAGATCCAGCGCCGAGGGCCTTCTGACGGTTCCCTCGCTGCGAGAAGCCAAGTTATAGGGAACCAGGCAGGGGGCCTTCTCGGTAGTGGCACCCGCCCTGTGGAACGCCCTCCCATCAGATGTCAAAGAGAACAACTACCAGACTTTTAGAAGACATCTGAAGGCAGCCCTTCTTTAGGGAAGCTTTTAATGTTTGATGTATTACAGTATTTTAATATTATTTGGAAGCTGCCCAGAGTGGCTGGGGAAGCCCAGCCAGATGGGCAGGGTATAAATAAATCATCATCATCATCATCATCATAATATTATTATTATTATTATTATTATTATATTTTATTTGTACCCTTCCCATCTGACTGGGTTGCCCCAGCCACTCTGTGCAGTTTCCAACACATATAAAAACCATACTAAAACATTACACACTAAAAGCTTCCCTACATGGGGCTGCCTTCAGATGTCGTCTAAAGATTGTATAGTTACTTATCTCCTTGACATCCAAAGGGAGGGCGTTCCACAGGGCGGGTGCCACTGCCGAGAAGGCCCTCTGCCTGGTTCCCTGTAACCTCACTTCTTGCAGTGAGGGAACCGCTAGAAGTCCCTCAGAGCCAGATCTCAGTGTACAGGCTGAACAATGGGGGTGGAGATGCTCCTTCAGGTATACTGGGCCGAGATCGTTCAGGACTTTCAAGGTCAGCACCGACACTTTGAAATTGTGCTTGGAAATGGACTGAAATAGAAGAGTGTCATTAGAATTCATGAGAAAGGTTTTCCTTTATTTGTCATGTAAAATAGGGGGATCAACCTTGTCATCAAAAGGACCCTTACATTTAAAATCTCAGTCAATTTACATTTTGTTTCAGATCAAGGAAAGGAATGAGCCTGCCTGAATTTCTAATAGGCATTTGGGTCAGTAAAAGCAAATGGTGCTACTCAGGAGAGAGAGATACAAAACGGAGGCTTCATTCAACAGACTCATCCCTTCATGAGGCATTCCTTTTCTTTGTTGACATCAGATCAAGCAGAATAGTCATTCCCCTTTTGAACGGCTCCTCTCCTTTAGCAGAGTGTTCTAATAAATAAATTGCTTTTCGTATCATGCCCGTTTAATATAGATATAGACATAAATGATCCTAGATGCATTGATTTTTCGGTTTATGAAGAAAACCATCTGGATAGCTCAGTTAGAGAATGGTGCTGATGATGCCAAGGTTGCAGGTTCAATTCCTGTAAAGCGTTTTCTCCCTAACAGAGAGCACGTGTTGCGGTGGGGGCCTGCAGACCACCCCACTGTTGTTGGGTTAATAATGTTTGAATGGCCACGAGTTGTGATTGGGCAAGGTGTGTCTCTGGGGAGATTGTCATGCTGCTAATTGGTGGGAGGGGTCAGAGGTTTTAAATATGGGTCACACAGCCTTGGGCGTTCTCTTGGGCTGCGTGCACCGGATCACCCGCCCACCCTCCCTGGAAAGGGGGGTTCTTTGTCCTCTGACCTTGCTGTGCCTGTCATGGGGTTGCCTGCTTTTGGGGCAGGGGCCTGGTAGGAATTTTGTCCATTTGGCTGATTGGCTGTTGCCATTTGGTTTTTGCCTACTGCGTAGCAGATCGTCACAACTTGTAAGGTTTGCAGTTAGGCATTGGTTAAAATTGGTTGGTGGAGGGGTAAGTGCCTACCCCTCCAGTGGTGGTGCGGAAAGGAAATTCCGTTAAAGGAATCCAGGGGCTTGCCATTCTTTTCGTCCTAGTCCCTGGCCTCGGACTTGGGCCGTGCAAGCCACCAAGAGCATGAGGGTGAGAAGTGAGGGACTGAGGCCCAGCTTCATTTTCTCCCCAATATTGTTTTCCCTGACTGGCTTCCGCTGGAATCCGGAAGTCAGTTCTGTCCTTGGGGCAAGGACAGATAGTCGTAGCCAATGCCTAAGCAACCACTCACATGTGTGTATGTAAATAAAGTCGTGACCAAATTCATGCCAAAAACCTTAAACAAAAATTCATGTGTGAAGTGTGAGTTATTAGGGTGGCTTGGGGACCTCGACGCACAAGGAACAGCTGCCAATTCTTGCATTGCAGGAGCTTGTGCAAGATGTACCCTAGGGTCCCGTCTAACTCTGTGCTTCTGTGCTTCTAAGTTTTGAAATTGAACGTACCAACTGAAAAGTAATGTTGTGGTTTTTTTAAAAGCCATGTTTCTGAGCCATGTGATGTCATTGGGTGTGCTCTTAAGGCTTTGAAGCCTGAGTGCAATGAGAAGGAAAACGGTCAGGAAAACAAATGTGCTTGTTTAATACTGTGTGCCCCTGCAGCTATCAGCTGGAATGAAGAATCCAAGAAATGGTGCTTTGTCCGCACACTTGGACATCTGTATTTATTTTTAAATCAATCTTTAAGCTTCAGGGCACTCCGGGACACATCTTCGTCATGTGAGCTCTGCGGTTTGGAATCCTTTTGCCAGCCTGCGTCTGGGATGCCAGTTACTACTGTATCAGAACTGTGGCCCATACGTTGGTCACCTTGAGACCAGATTACGGCAATGTGTTTTATGTGGGGTTGTCCTTGAGGAAGCCCCAGCTAGTGCAGAAGGCAGCAGCTAGACTGCTGATTTGGGGGTGAGGGGGAGCTGCTATCATGTAATGTCTGGGCTGAAACATCTTCACTGGCTGCCCACTGGCTAGGAGACCAGGTTTAAGGTTCTCATATTAATAGACAAAGGCCTGAACAACTTGGGTCCAGGCTACCATAAGGACCACTTGGCCCATTACATGCCAACTCAATGACTGAGATCATTTGGAGGAGCAGCAAGCCCTCCCCCCATGTTTCATTTCCAGTAAAGCGAACATTAGCTTGAGATTTTGTAGAGCCACTGCCAATCAAAATAGACAATACTGGGCTTATAATAAGTCAAAGTCAGCTTTGCCCAGGTCGAAGTCTTGTTGCTGAGCAGCAACATGCACAGCTCAGTAGTGTGGGAGGCCAGACAACCAGAAGAGTCTCTGAGGTGTACCTGCCTGGGGGCAGACTCAGCATCTAAAGTCAGGTCCAGCCCTGAGCCAGTGTGGTGTAGTGGTTAAGAGCGGTAGTCTCGTAATCTGGGGAACCGGGTTCGCGTCTCCGCTCCTCCACATGCAGCTTCTGGGTGACCTTGGGCCAGTTACACGTCTTTGAAGTCTCTCAGCCCCACTCACCTCACAGAGTGTTTGTTGTGGGGGAGGAAGGGAAAGGAGAATGTTAGCTGCTTTGAGACTCCTTAAAGGGAGTGAAAGGCGGGATATCAAATCCAAACTCTCTTCTAGGGTTGGGCAAACAGCAATCCACATGGTCAGACAGTCCAGGGATCAGGGAATCAGATGGTCATGGGTTCAAGGGTCAAGATGAGCAGGAAGCAGCAAGGTAGAGCCAGGAATTACGAGCGTTGTTTCCAGCATCTGACTGCTGTTGGAAGCTCTGCTTAAGAAGGCTGAAGCCAGCTGGTTCTCACCAGTTCCTTCTCCTCTATTTCCTTGAAGGCTGATCAGCTGCCGATGGAGTCGCTCCCCCTTCTCCCCCTTCAGACTGTTGTTCAGCAGGCGAAGTGGGTCAGAGCCCACAAAGGGAATACAGTGGTACCTCAGGTTACATACGTTTCAGGCTACATACGCTTCAGGTTACAGACTCCGCTAACCCAGAAATAGTGCTTCAGGTTAAGAACTTTGCTTCAGGATGAGAACAGAAATTGCGCTCCGGCGGCGCGGCAGCAGTGGGAGGCCCCATTAGCTAAAGTGGTGCTTCAGGTTAAGAACAGTTTCAGGTTAAGTACGGACCTCCGGGACGAATTAAGTACTTAACCCGAGGTACCACTGTATCAGTCTTCTCATCTCCCTTGGGGCATGTGTTTGGAAAAGAACATAGATAATCATTTGAATTCCCTTGTGTCACACAGCATAATCTGTGGTCTCCTGCAAAAGAGTGTTTTGACACTCTTGTAGCAAAAAAAAAAAAAGGGTGTATCATTCATCAAATACCAATACAGTTTTATCTCAGGTTACAAACTTAAATCGTTCTGGAGGTCCGTTCTTAACCTGAAACTGTTCTTAACCTGAAGCACCACTTTAGCTAATGGGGCCTCCCGCTGCCACTGTGCTGCCGCTGCATGATTTCTGTTCTCATCCTGAAGCAAAGTTCTTAACCCGAGGTACTCTTTCTGGGTTAGCGGAGTCTGTAACATGAAGCGTCTGTAACCTGAAGTGTCTGTAACCCGAGGTACCACTGTACTTTCTGGATGCAGGTTTCGGTCTTTGGCTTGCCCATTCCTTTGGATCACAGAATTTTCCTTCAGTTTTGCATGTATCATTTGCGAAGAAAATGTGCATTTCACATTGGCCCTGTTTCCCTTGCGATGCATCATTCCTCAGTAGATGGTTCAGAGACGCCTGTCATTTGCACTAAATGACACAGAATGTCAGAGCTTTCATGCCTCATCAGATACTGCTCTAATCTTTCCAGGCGCTGCGACAATGAAATCTATCCGTACCATGCAAAGCATTTCACTCTGTAATTTGAGAGAAAGAAAGAAAGAAAGAAAAAAAAAAAGGCACAGCGGTTGCGTGGCGATTGGGTTAAAAACCCCTCTCTTGATTAGTGTACAAGAGAGGAGAACCCTGTATATTTGTGTCTTAAAACTGTACCTCAGCTTTCCTCTGGAAAACCCAGAGCAGCTTACACAGAGCTCCTGGTAATCCCTGCTTATCTTTAACCGTGTAATAACAGGATCTGCCCTCAGGAGAACATTCTTACTTCATTGACAAAGCATCTTCTCTCTTTCTGTGCACAAAAAAAACAAAACAAAACTGTGCTTTGGCCAAGGCTGAACAAAAATGCCTTTTTGGGATTAAGAAAATGAAGTCCTTTCTTTCTCAACAGAAGGCTATCTGATATATGCCACCTTGAATTCTAGGGATAAAGTGTCCTTTTAAAATTTATCCAATTCCTTACCAGTCTTGTCATGCCTATTTGATAACCCATTGTTTTCCAATTTAAATATCATTGTTGCATCGTTGTTGCTTTTGCTGCTGCTGATATTCAGAGAGTGTCTAATCTAAAATTTTAGCTACCACCACAATTTTAGTTAAATTAGCAACCACCTTGCCTTTAAATAAACTGGATACTTTAGACACTTCCCCAAGAGACAGGAATTCAAGGAGAGCTTCAACCAAGTGCAAAAACTTCAGTAACAAGTATCTGGGTCAGATCCAGATGTTACTCTCAATATGGATATGGAAGAGGTTACTAGAGGGTGTATCACTGCTAAGAATCATATTGTGGGGAGAATCTCATAGCAAATAGATATAATTAGACATTTTGCAGAATGATTGGATTTAATGGCCAGTTTGTTGACTTGTTATACCAGCAACTATGTGGTTACTGGCGCAGGTTCACA